AACAAATATAATTCTGTAAAGTGGTTCTATATAGTGTGTAACTGTTAATATAGAGCGTTATTCAATTTATTGCTAATGCAATCATTAGTTGCATTAGTACATTTTAGATGCACTCGTCATCAGAAAGGTTGCCGACCCCTGCTGTAGGGCGAAGGACACACACACCCACACACATGTTTGAAAACATCCTGACACAAAGTTTGACATCTTGCTTTGGATGGTTAAGACTGCCAGGAGGATTGTTGGTGCCCCTCTCTCGTCTCTGGAGATCTACAAACAGGGCTGCATACGCAGAGCTACCTCCATCATCAGAGACTCCCGCCACCCCTCTCATGGCCTGTTCTCCCTCCTGCTGTCTGGCAAGAGGTACAAGAGCACCCCTCCCCACCCACTCAGCTATTCACACAGCTATACACACACTATTTGATCTAATGATCCTCTTCTATGAAAGGACTGCTGCCACCTGAATGAGTGTGACTGCTTAGACCTGAGCTCGTTTTAGAATTTAGATTACGAATCGATGTTATTTATCCTTATTATTACTGCGATTTATCATTGACTTTTAAAAAAAATTGTATTGGTTACTGTAGAGGCTGGTGAGAAACAGTATTTCGGTTCAGTCGGAGTATTTTTTGAAATAACATACGAAATGACAATAAACCTTTCGATTGATTGATTTGATTATCTTTGTGAGAAATGTTCATGCATTTTCAAGCTTCTTTCCCTTAAATTTAATCATCACAGCAGGTTTCAAGGTTTCAAACTCTTATCCAAAACCTAAACTTTATGCTAATTTTACCATAAATGCAACTTGCATTGGGTCTGGGGTGGCTGTAGCTCAAGAGGTAGAGCAGGTCATCTGCTGATTGGAAGGTTGGTGGTTCAATTCCTGACTCTTCCAGTCTGCATGCCAAATATCCTTGATACTAACCCCAAGGTTCTCTCGAATGTTGTGGAATATACATTTTTCCTCTCGTGGTTCTGACATCTCTGCCTGAGCTTTGCAATCATAGATATCATATATGATTTCTGTCTAAATACGAGAACAAAAGTACTAAGGCTCTGACGTTAAGAAGCATCTTTGTCTATAACACAAAACATAATGGTAGCGTGTGGTAAACTCAGCGACTCATGAACTTAAAACATTAAAGCCCACAAGAAAAAAACGACTGAGCAGAAGTTGTAGTCTGTATAAACACAAGCTGGAGTTTAGTTCTCAAGACCAGTGAGACTTTACAATCTGAAATTCAAAACTGCCATTATATAATTTTTTGGTTGGTGTGGTTGGAGTAGAAAAAGACATTTAGCCTTACTTGACAATGCTGCGAGCTCTGTCGGGGTCCATGGCGCTGACTGAGCCCACCACTGTGCCCACCGCAACATCTTCTTTCACCTCATACAGGTAGCTGGCTTTTTGAAACACAGGCGGCTCATCCACATCATCCACGGCCAACCGAACCGTAGCCACGTCTTTTGGGCCTGAGGACACGAAGCGAACATATTCCTGGGTGTTCTGGACCTGGATGTCTATCGTGTATGATGGTTTCTTCTCATAATCCAAAGGCTGCAAAGGCAAAGAGAGAACGACTGCTTTCAGTAAAGATGTCTGTGGAAACATAAAGCCAGCCTGAACATTCGTTGGCAATCATCAATGTCCACTGAGGCCAACAAATGCATGTAGACAGATAAATGAGACAACAGCTTGAAAGATACATACATACATATAGTGTATACAAGTGTGGCATGGTCATGTAAAGTATCTGTAACAGCAGCTGGTGCTGTCAGGTTGCTGTGGTGATAGTGGGTCAGAGGTTTGTCACTAAAACAGTTTGTATCAATGTTGACACACACACTCTGTGAGGACACATTTCTACAACACAGCATGGCTTTGTATATTTAACAGCATATGTAAAACAGACTTAGTTAGCAGGATCCTTAGGAGCTGAAAGTGTGAGCTCTGATCAATTCATTTCAAGCCAACCAGTGATGTGAGAAAAATATCAATACAAAATAAGAAGCCAGTATTATCTGAAGGTGGCCAAAGCTATGGATAGTTTGACTCATGCTTTTTCAGTACACAGCGACTCAAGAACGTTTTCTTTTGGTCTCTATTATAACATCATTTGACCCCCAACGCTTCAAGTCCAGTTTTTAATGTTTACTGGTTAGTTGCTCTCACCTTTCTGACAGTGACGAGTCCTTCTTGTGTTTCTTTGTCAGTGGAAATGTCAAACATTTCCATCCCGTCACCGCTGATGATGGTGAAGTCCATCTCAGTGTTCTTTCCAATGTCTTTATCAGTGGCCTGAATTCTCCCAACGACAGAGCCGGACGTGGACGATTCAGGAACTCTGAACTGGTATATACCTGGAAACAGTCAGCTCCATCACATCGGTGGGACTCACTCTGGTGACGGAGGTGTCTGGGGTTTTCTAGTTTTTGTTTTAACTCACAATTCTATTCAATTTGTCAATTGATATGAATGTTTTTGGACAGAATTATGGCTGCAGAATAATTCTCTCAATTGTGCAGGACAAAAACATGTCACAGGGGGCGATAGAGTACCAAACCCTGGGGAAGAATTAAGATCTGATAAAGGGATTCACAGGATTCTTAAAAGGCTTTAAACAAGATACAGACAGCTGACAACATTAAAGAAAAACCTGAATGCATGCTAAAGCATATAGTTAGGGCTGGACCAGGTGACCCTGAATCCGCCCTTAGTTACGCTGCACTAGGTGTAGGCTGCTGGGGATTCCCATGATGCACTGGGTGTTTCTTTTTCAATCAACTTTTTCACTCACTATGTGTTCATACGCCACTCTGCATTTAATTATTAGTTATTATTAATATCTGGATCTCTCCACAGCGTGTCTTTGTCCATCCTCACCCCAACCAATGATGGCCCCTCCCTGATTCTGGCTCTGCTGGAGGTTTCTTCCTGTTTGAAGGACGTTTATTTCGATCCCGCTGTCACCAAAGTGCTTGCTCAAAGGATGTCATATGATTGTTGGGGTTTTCTCTCTTTTCTTTGTATTGTTTCCTTGTATTATTTTCCTTTCCCTTACAATATAAAGAGCCTTGAGAAAGCTGTTGTTGCTGATTAGAAATAAAACTGAACTGAGTATAATTAATAGCTGTGTGTGTTTCATCACTCGTATACACACTGTGCTTCGTCTGTGCTGCTGTCTTACTCTGAGTGAAGTGGGGAGGGTTGTCGTTGACGTCAGTGAGAGTGATTTTAACCACAGTGCTCCCAGTGAGGCCTCCTCTCTGTCCACCCATGTCCTTGGCTTCGATCACCACCTGGTAGTGCTCCCTCTGCTCACGGTCCATGTCACCAGGACCCAGGGCTGTCCGGATCACACCTGAACAAAAAACAAAACTGTAATCTAAATTCATGTTCAGTCATTTTGTTTTTCATCATCGTGCTGACGTGTTGCTGGTGTGAATTAATATGCACGTCTTCAGATGTAACATGGCTTTATTTTCATTCCTGTTTTGGGTGGAGGAGAAACAAACAACCATCTGTGGCACAACAATTTTCCTTTGGTCATGATCTGAGTTTTTAGGATATTTGGGGTTTTTTTGATTGATTTTCTATTATAGTTCTATGTTCCCTGTTCTATGGGTCTTTAGGCACATGTTTGAGCTCCACAAGCATTGTCCCTGTTAAGTGGTCTTGATTTCAGTGTTTATTTCCTGTTTTATTTTGACACTTCCTTGCCCTGTGTGCATTATGTTCAGTTTTGCTTCTTCTGTCTTGTTACTCCTGATTTGTCCCTGCTGTGTTCACAGTCCACTTCACTCTCCTGTGTATTTATTGTCTCAGTCTTCCCGTGTGCATTGTGTGTTCTGTGGTCACGTGTTAGAGCCTAGTCTATGAGTTAACGGTTTTGAGTCTCACCTAAGCTATTTTGTCTTATGCATATTGATTCCTTAAGTTCAGTAATAAAGTTATATTTAAGTTCATGCTTGTGTGTTTGGGTCTCACCCTATCTGCCACACTGCGAAACCTGACACCTTTTTTTAAGTCAATAGACAATTAGTTAGAGCTGAAATCAATCATATTACAGGACTTATTATCTGACAAGTTCTCTAAACCCAGCTTTAAATCTTTTAAGCTGACATCTGGATTTACAGAAACATTATGGACACGGTTCTGTTTCAGTGTACACGGGTCGAAACAGGAAGTTGTTTACTGGAGATCTACAAAGTTTAAGATTACTGTCACTAGTTCTATATGTGGAAAAACATGAGACATTTAGCCTCAATTCTTTGTAATGACCAGCAGGGGACTCCTGTGGCTGCATCCACATGTGCATTAGGGTACGCTTGACTGTGGGACCATATCGGTGTATTCCTCGGTTTTATAGTCATATCCATCACATTTTTTATGTTTGCCTACAGAAAGCTAAGATGGGGACCCATAAAATGGTCAGCTTCAAGACTTTAAACTGGCACTAAGGTGATGTGATAGTGACAAAGTTCACCTTTAATCTGTGGCACTTTGAAACACGATCTTTTGATTTTTCGTCAGGTTTTTGGCTCTCAGTGTTGTACTAGTACAGTGAGTGTGTTTGATGGTTAAAGTTAAAGCTGTGAACACTACCTTATTAGACTAATACTGAAATGAGTCTTCCTCTTTGGTTAAAGTCTCTTACCTGAATATGTCACACTGTAAGCTTGCCAGCATACTCATTATAGCTAAACTGGTACTGCAGTGTTCCAGTGCACGTTTTCCATCTTTAAATGGAAAGGATAAAATCATATATGTAACTGTTGTCTTTATCTGATGTGGGAGGCACAAAAACGTGCAAAGAGAAGTTGCACTGAGTTTTCAATGGTAGTTCTTTTTTTTATTTTTACTGAAAAAAAAGATGTATTGTCTAAATTTATGATATGAAGCTGCAACAAACCCGCTCATCATAAGCTCCCTGAGAACCTTTTAATTCACACTGTGAAGAACATCCTAGAAAGAGAAGAAAATAACGACCACATCCAAACTATGATTCCTGTACCATTCATTTAACAAAACACACGATGAGTTCATTTGGACTGTTTGTGTTATCTGCAGCTGTCCACGTTTGTGCGTACAGAAAGAAAAAGAATCACCTGAGCACTTTTTATTCCTGTTATTGAGTGTTAACACATGTTTATATTATGATATGGAAAATAATGATGAGGAAACCAGAGAAGAAAATTGATCAGCTTAGATCAGGTTTAAATGTTATTTCACTCATTTATATCTGAACACTTTACAGAAATGATTTGTTATTGTGGTCTAAACAAGTAATGTAATATGTCATTGTTCCTAAAATCTAAGTCTGTCCATAAATATTGATCTGTGCACCTGTTGTGTGGGTTTTGATGCTCCAATAATTCTACTAAAATGATTCTGATGACTCTTCTGTAGACATGTTGCTCATTAGTGACTTTTTCACATTTAGCACATTTTCATTCTCCACATTCTGTAACTTAAGACTGATTTTGAACCATTATGTTGAATTTATGAGGATATAAAGTATCAGTATTTGGACATGACCCGCACCCACCCACTCACTCATCTTAATTGTGATGGCAGCTCTTTTTACACAGCTCGTGTCCACAGCTAAGACGACATGTGGCATGTCTGTGTAAAGCTTGTATAATGTCAGAGCTCATGAAGAAGGCCCAGAAGACAAATCCCCAAATGTTTTAATGGCCAGTCCACATCTGACAGTCGGGGCAAGTGTGACAGGACTCACATAGTCTATTTATATCTCTCTGAATCACAACAGTCACCTCACTGCACTTTACCTTTGAAAAGTAAAAACCCCGCAAATGTATCAGCTTTCTCACATTTATCAGTTCTTACTTACAGACAGGTGAAAGTTACTGATCCCATTATGAAATACACCACAAATGTCTCTAATTAAGAAGTTCTTTAGCTGCATGCTCACATAATAGTGTGCCTGTCACTGCAAATATTTCTTTCTGAGCCTTTTAAGAATTAGCAGGTCAATCCGATCTGCCTTTCCTCTCAGTAACATTGCACAATAGGTGTATATTTTATATCAGACCAAACTTTAGAGTGTCGTGCAAGAACCTCATTAAAATGTGCATGTAAGAGTGAAATCCTGTGAAATTAGTCCACGGCTTTGGTTACACACCGTCAGCAGTGTGACATTATGGGATGTGTCCCTCACGTGTCACAGGCGTGAGATCACTTTCATGTGCTACAATTAGCCTAATTTAGTTTAGCATTAAAGACTATCTTAAAGGAACACACGGACATTTTATGAAAAGTCGTCCTGCTTCAATTCAAACTTCCTCCTACTTTCCATTTAAATGACCCATTTACGCACTTTTAGTTCTAATTTTGTACGAGTAGTTCACACCAATCTGGAGACGAGGAGAGCTACAGGTAGCCGATAATGATCCTTCCATGTCTGTGTAGGGCCTCAGTCATCCAGGTCATGTTAGTAACCTGGAGCAACTGGACTTCTTTAAGTTTCCAGTCTCATAGGTGAGGAATGTATCATGAAACTAGGCTGATTGCTGGGTGTGCAGCCAATGTTAACCAATGTTAATGGGTTTCAAGCCTAAGGAGCGAGGCTGCAGGCTATGGCAGCAGCAGGTCCAGTGAATGGACCAGACAACAATTGCATTGAATTGGTCAGCTCTATAAAAAGGTAAAGGCAGCAACGGCTTTTCCAGTTTGAGTCAATTCTTGAAATACAGTCATCATTCTGATTCATGACGAAGCAGCAAAAGGTTTTGAGAATCTGACTATATGTAATAATTTGTTCTCTAAAGACACGTTTTACAAAAAGTTATGCTTTTGTCACGACCGGTATCATCAAGTACTCGATGTCTGTCAATCATACCAGTGTTTGGCTCCACAGAGAAGTATGGGTGTCCTTGACTGATGCTGTAGACCAGTTTGGCACTGTTCCCATACATTGTGTCATCAGCATCTGTAGCTGTCACCTGGGTGACCGATGTACCTGAAAGAGTTGCATTACCACGACTGTTACTGAGAAAACAAAAAGCAGAAAAGTGCAGTGAGAGAGGTCCTTACCAATATCAGACCTCTCAGGAACACTGGCAGTGTACACCTCTTTGCTGAACTTTGGTTCGTTGTCATTGATGTCGTGGAGTTTGATGATGAACTCGGTCTCTGGCTCCAGTTTTTGACCCGTCCACTTGTTGACCACTGTGGCTTTGAGGACATAAAAGGCCTTCTCCTCTCGATCAAGGCGGCGC